TCACAGCTCACAGCAACCTCCAACTCCTGAGTTCAAGCGAGTCTCCTGCCTCAGCCTCCCAAGTAGCTGGGACCACAGGCACCCACCACAATACCCAGCTAGTTTTTTGGTTGCAGCCGTCATTGTTGTTTAGTTGGCCCAGGCTGGATTCGAACCGGCCACCTTAGGTGTATGTGGCTGGCGCCTTAGCCACTTGAGCCACAGGTGCTGAGCCTTCTACTATCAGTTATTATGATGCCATTGCACTCTAGCCTGGGGGAGCAAGACACCATCTCTAAAAAAAATAAAAGAAAGCATGAAGGAGTGGCTTATGCCTGTGATCCCAGCACTCTGGGAGGCCAAGGCGGGCAGATTGCCTAAGTTCAGGAGTTTGAGATCAGCCTGAGCAAGAGCGAGACCCCATCTCTACTAAAAATAGTAAAAAAAACCAGCCAGGTGTTGTGGCGGACACTTGTAGTCACTGATACTCAGGATGCTAAGGCAAGAGTTGCTTGAGCCCAGGAGTTTGAGGTTGCTGTAAGCTGTGATGCCATGGCACTGTACGCAAGGTGACAGAGTGAGACTCCGTCAGAAAAAATAAAAATAAATAGGCGGGAGGAGGAGCGGGAGCTGCGGGAGGATGGGCCGCCGCTAGGCTCGCACTCGGGACGCGCCTCGCCGAGCGCAGGGTGGGTGCCCGCGCCTGCAGCGTCCGCAGTGGGCGGCGCGGCCGGAGGTGGCTGAGGCTCCGGGCCTCGCAGCCACAGCCCCCGGCCCAGCGAGCTTTTACGCGGCGGCGCCTGGCCGAGCCGCCCGCCCGCCCGCCGTGGGTGCCTCGCGGGCAGGAGAACGGAAAACTCCCAACTTCCTGAGTTTTAAAGTTACTGTTGCTTCAGACAATGGATGAGCGATCTCAAGGAATGCAAGGGCCACCTGTTCCTCAGTTCCAGCCACAGAAGGCCTTACGACCTGATATGGGCTATAACACATTAGCCAGCTTTCGAATAGAAAAGAAAATTGGTCGCGGACAATTTAGTGAAGTTTATAGAGCAGCCTGTCTCTTGGATGGAGTACCAGTAGCTTTGAAAAAAGTACAGATATTTGATTTAATGGATGCCAAAGCACGTGCTGATTGCATCAAAGAAATAGATCTCCTCAAGCAACTCAACCATCCAAATGTAATTAAATATTATGCATCATTCATTGAAGATAATGAACTAAACATAGTTTTGGAATTAGCAGATGCTGGTGATCTATCCAGAATGATAAAGCATTTTAAGAAGCAAAAGAGGCTAATTCCGGAAAGAGCTGTCTGGAAGTACTTTGTTCAGCTCTGCAGCGCGTTGGAACACATGCATTCTTGAAGAGTCATGCACAGAGATATAAAACCAGCTAATGTGTTCATTACAGCCACTGGGGTGGTGAAACTTGGAGATCTTGGGCTTGGCCGGTTTTTCAGCTCCAAAACCACAGCTGCACATTCTTTAGTGGGTACACCTTATTACATGTCTCCAGAGAGAATACATGAAAATGGATACAACTTCAAATCTGACATCTGGTCTCTTGGCTGTCTGCTGTATGAGATGGCTGCATTACAGAGTCCTTTCTATGGTGACAAAATGAATTTATACTCGCTGTGTAAGAAGATAGAACAGTGTGACTACCCACCTCTTCCTTCAGATCACTATTCAGAGGAACTACGACAGTTAGTGAATATGTGCATCAACCCAGATCCCGAGAAGCGACCAGACATCACCTACGTTTATGATGTGGCTAAGAGAATGCACGCGTGCACCGCGAGCAGCCGAACAGTGCAAGACCATGAGGAACAGCATACAAATAATTTAAAGTATTGTCGTGCAAATCATACCTCCCCGTTTATGTCTGGGTGTTAAGATTAATATTCAGAGCTCATGTGCTTTGACTCCTTAACCAGTTTTCACATAAGCTTCATTTTGTACCAATGTAAATCACCTTGTAACCCCCAAATGACTTTGGAAAAATCAAATTGCATGTTTGGAGAATAAAAGAAACAGGATGGTTTTCAATAGATAAAGGTTTATAGAATCGTTTAGAGTTTTCTGCAGATAAATTGTGTTCAGATATGGAAGGGGCAGCTTGGCACACATCAGGATAGACTCGAAACCCGAGGAACAGTACCTGAACAGGTTGTAATTCTAGAATATGTTTAATGAAATGAAAAATGGCCATTACTACAGCCGGAATTGTTAGGAGATTAACATTTCTAATGAGAAGCTTTCGAGCAGAGTACTGTATTTGTGCACGAAGATGACCGAGATGGTAATGCTTTGTTTAGTGTAAGGAAATGGGCAGAGTTTAGCTGACGCTGTCGTGCAGATGTGTTTTTCCCTGAATACCTTCATATCAGTGGAGACCAGTTCCTCACAGAAGTGTGAAGGGAAAAAGCCAAGAGGCAGTCACTGTTTAAGGACAGGCCGCACCAAAATACCCTGAGATGGATCGTCCTGCCAACGTGAGAACCTCGTGCTCAGAGAACACCTCCCCTTAGCCTATGGAACTGCTGGGTTTGTTTTTCATATGCTCCTTTGAATTATTTTCAAGTCTTATGTAATTTTAAAAATGCATAAAGAGCAAAAAGTATAAACTCTTGTATTTCAAGATTTGGTCAGTCACACATGGTACCAGAAGAGTGATTTTATTTTGGAATTAGACAAAGGAAATCTGGTTGGGTTTCTTTTGTTTTGTTTTCGTTTTATGAGGGCTGAATGCATTGTTTCTCCCAAATTCTTGTGACTTTTAACCTTGACAGTGATCACCCACAGACTTACCTCCAGAAATGCAAGAATTGTTGTTGTTGACCATTAACATCTGCTCATTTTGACGTAATGGAATTGACTCCGATGGGATGTTCTCTGGTGGGAACAGACGCTGTCCTTTTTCTTGCAATCGTTAAGAGTACATGGATCTAAAATTCATTAGCTTGACCCCTCCACACTGACTTTTAAGTAAAGATTTAAGCTTTTCTTCTCAGTGAATGTATCTGCTAGAAGGAAATAGCTAGAAAGCATTTAATGATCAGGGAAAGCATTATTTTCTACTTGTGGAAACTTTCTGTTTTGGATATTATATCTTTTTTTTTTTTTTTAATCTAAGTGTTCATATTTTTCCTGAGGAAACCACTGTGTAAAAACCAAATTTTAATTTTTAATGGGATCATTTCAAAGAATTATGAAGATGATTAGAAGTTCTAATTTTTATAATCACCTATAAGATGTTCTCTTTTTATTTTTGTTTATAAGTAAATTTTATATTAAGTTAAACATTTGAATTAATTTCAGAAGCAGTGATATGAAAGATATGTCTGATTCTAAACCTTCTTTAGACATTGGTACCTGTTACCCAGGGGAAAATGTGGGGTAACTTTGTTTTGCATAGTGAGGTTTAGAAATTGTGGATAAAGAGTATCTCTGTATAAATAAAGTGCTCAACAATGTGCAATGATTGTAAATTTAGTAAGATACTACAACCATTTCATGAATGCTTTACCATTCTATATAGTATCTATTACAACACACCTCTCTTTGATCCATATACTTTAGGTGTTGCTGTTAACTTTTACCATATTTATTTTAACCAAAATGTTATTCACATTAACTGTTAATTCTTTAAAACGAATGTATTATGTTCATAACCCACAAATGCATAATTACCCTGTGCTTCATATTTTAATAGTACTGTAATATGGACATCTTTTGTGAAACTTGTATTTTGTTATGCTTTAAATACACAGACAAAAAATACTGTTACTAGCTTTGAAAATTATACATCCTAATATAAATAAAAATATGAAAATAAAAAATAAATAAAAATAAATAAATAAATAAATAAATAAAACACAATGGAAGCTGTTTGCAATATATTAAGTTATAAAAGCGGATAATAAAACTTTATATTGTATGGAGTCATTTTTATAAACATACACATTTACCTATAATAAAAATAGAAACATATTAGCCTAAAAAGATTAAATAAGAAAATGTATATAAAATACTTAGAACACTGCCTTGTCAAAAGAAATATTTAATAGGGGTTCCCGATGCTGAAGTGACAAGGATACAGGGACCTCTCTGCAGCCAGTTCTGTCCTGCAGCTCCCTAACCACCATGTTCCAGAGCTGCTGCTCCTGCCACCACACTCACTGGCGTCCCCTTTGTCATCATGCCCCCTTCAAACACACACTCATTATTAATCAAGGATTTTCCCTAATCAAGAGCTGTACCTCTTCCAAATTTCAATAGGCCAGAACAGGATATAAAATTTACCAAGAAATCTGGCAGACCTTACGGCTGTTTAAAAATCAAAACAACACTGTATAGACTTTGAGTTTCCTAAGAGAAAAATAAATGCTTAGTGTTACCTGTGGATGTCAGCTTACATCTTCCCAGCAGTCTCATCTAGATTTACAAAAGAATGTACATTTATTTGGGGTTATAGCTGAAAGATGCATAAGAGATCACCTAAGGAAGACTCAGGGGGAAACTATGGCAATGTCATATCTACATCTAAGTCTAGCTCTGCCACCATCTAAGAGTGGCTCTGGGCAAGTCACCCTCTCACACCCCCCTCTTTGTATGCAGTAATATTATTTGCCTGCTTGTTAATGGTGCCTGGCAAAGCATGTACTCAATAAATAATAGCTATTATTATTATTATTATTTGAGACAGAGTCTCACTTTGTTGCCCTGGTATGGTGCCATGACATCATAGCTCGCAGCAACCTCAGACTCTGGGCTCAAGTGATCCTCTTGCCTCAGTCTCCCAAGTAGCTGAGAATTCACCCACACACCACAATGCCCAGCTGGATTTTCTATTTTTAGTAGAGACAGGGTCTCACTCTTACTCGGGTGGTCTTGAACTCTTGAGCTTAAGCAAATTACCCACCTTGGCCTCCCAGAGGGCTGGTATTACAGCCACCATGCCTAGCTAATAATAGCTATTATTATTAGCACAATCCTACCATTTGCACAGGAAAGAACTGAGGTCCAAGAGGCCCCAGATCACACAGTTGGTCCATAATTGAACTAGGACTAGATGTCAGTGCTCATTCCTGTACACTTACACAATTTTACAACAATATTATTACACAGTAGACTTTCACAACTTTTCTGTAATTCTGTAAGTTCCTACGGATTCTTCAGCGTTGTGTTTATTTTGTTTGTCTTCTTGGAAAACATGGACAAATATATACATTAGGTTCAGTATGTATTTTTATTTTGTGCATATGTAGCGTTTGATATTTTATGGCAGGCTTGTGCATTTGTTAATTTAATTACGGAAATGCAATGTTGTAGACCTGTCGATGCCTGGAAAGGGGAGAAAGAACCATGTAACCACATTGTAATCCCTGTGTAGCCCATGAATATGCCACCACTGGCCACTCTGCCTTCAGAAATTCCCATATATTAATGGGTTAGGTTTTAAAAAACATTAAAAATCATTGTGAATTTATTCTTTAAATGGTTGTATCAGTTAGGGCTTTCAGTTACAAACAACAGAACTAACTCACTTTATCTAGTTTTTAACAGAGAACGATGTTCAGAGGCTAATGCCACTTGAACCAGTCCCCAAAGACCCCCAGAGCCTGTTGGCAGAGCTTCTGGGAGCAGTGAGCACACACCAGGCCTCCAGGCCTCTGATGTGCTGAGAGCTCTGTGTCTTTCAGCCAGGCTCTGCACACTCGACGGACTTGGCCCAATCCTCTTTCCTCCCAGTGTTCTCCTTTGGGTCAAAACTTTGCATGAATTCCACTAAGGCAGAATCTGGGCGTGTGCTGCATGCCTGAAAGGTGAGAGATACTGAGAGGTAAGACGTATAGGCTCTGGCTTACAGAGCAGGAAGTCTCAATGTGTGAAATTACTAACATCTAGAGAGTACTCGAAAGATTCTGAGAGGCCACAGATATGCCCAATGCACCCTGTGATGCTTATTCAAGTTTTCTTTGAAATTATATCTGATTTGTAGGCCCCCAAGTATATTTAGTACAAGCATATGAAGAGTCAGATAGTTCACCTTTCAAAGAAAAGGTAATAAGATAAATATTTCTGGGGGATTAATAGGAGCTTAAAATTCCCCTTTTTCTTCTCTTTCTCTTACAGTTTCCCTGGCTTTTCTTCCTATTCTCCCTTCTTGTTTTGTCTTTTTCTTTGAATTTATGATTTCTCTGAATGTATTTATCAAAAATGCAAATAAATGACAACTGTCACTGAATTCGAAGAAAGTATTCAGTACCAGTGCTTCATAGTATTTACTTATCTAAAATATTCCATAAGCACTTGTTATGTGCCAGGCACTTTTCTAGGGATCAGTGGTATAGCAGTGAATAAAAGAGACAAAAGTTCTTGGCATCCTAGTGGTAGAACTACAATTTTAGATTACTGCAAGACCTTACAAAAAAGAATCAATAAAGTAGTATTATTTTTTGATAAAAGAAATACAAAAGTATAGTATATAATTCAATTTTCATCAACAAAGCTCTAATGTAAGATACTCCAGACATATTTTGAAAGAAAACAAAAAGAACAACTTGCAGCTATTTTTAAAATTAGTCTCTAATGTCCTATATGTTTTTGAAAATGATTATGATGAGATTTTATTTTATTATTTCATTATAAATATGGAGTCTCACTTGTTGCCCAGGCTGGTCGCCAACTCCAGGGTCAAGTGATTCTCCCACCTCAGCCTCCCAGAGTGCTGGGATTATGGGCGTGAGCCACGGCACCCAGCTGTTAGGAAGACATAAAGTGCATAGCTGAGGAAGCAGCCCTGTAGTCTAGTCTAAAACTTTTTACTTCGGTTCTTCTTCTGTCTGCAATTTAAATGCTGTTTGTTCTGTCCTTATCCCTTTTTCTGTTTTTCTCACCTTTTTTTTTAAGTTTTTTTTTTTTTTATTGAATAGTAACTGTGTACATTTACACAGTTACATAACTGTGTGCAAGCCAACTGCACTTCTGGGGTACAGTGTGGGATTTTCACAAACAATCCGAAACACTTCCATCAAACTGGTTAACATAGCCTTCACGTAATTTTCTTAGTTATTGTGTTAAAACATTCATATTCTACTCA